ATGAATAATGTTAATGATTCAGTGGATCAACTATCTTGAATCTCCTTGGTTATAATGACATCACTAATGCTGCATAATCAAGAAAGTGAAAACAAGAAATTGATGTTTGAGAGTGTGGAAAGCAGCATTTTACTATACCATTTCAAGATTGTGCTCGTTTTACTTTAGAGATGAAAGTGGGAAACCACGCGGAAGCAATGGCCCCTTTTTATCCATAAGCTGCTCTGCAAAGATAAGTAAATGATTGTCCCGTCATCCACAGCTTTCTTCTGCTGCAATGTACGCATTCCTGAGTCTCAATTCCCTTATAATTCATCTCTTTCCGACAACCTGAAGGACATACTTAGAGCTGCTGCTGCACGCTGGTTATTGGTTTTCAGAGGTGTGCCCGTTTCCCTTTCTGATCTAAAGATGGCACTGGTACTGGGAACAGTGATTAACAGCCTGGGATCAATAGTGAGGATTCTATGGTGTCTGCAAGAGAGGCGCTTCTCTGCCACATTCAATGCAGTGAGGTCAGCCACTGCGTCCCTCACCATGGCACTTATGGTTTGCTTGTCTGCTCATGGAATCAGGACATCCACAGAACGGGGTGTTTTCTACATTTGACCGTTTATCCTATCATTTTCTCTATTACTTCATTTCAGCATTAATTATTTGTATTCTAATTTCATGTGGGTTTAGGTAAATTGCATCAGCATCAGCTGTTTATGTAAATTACAAGCACTGTATTGTGTCTTGTTGCTAAGATTCAATGAGATGAATGTGTAATAAATACTTTAGTAAACAATTGCAAAGAACCAGCCCTTTTCACCTGTTGGTTCACAAGGCCAAGCCTGGTCCTTTGTTCAAAACACGTTACAAGTTACGTTCAGTTCAAATGGTGTACAAAGCAATTCTATGTAATGTCATTCAGGCATTCACAAGCGAAGCAAACTTCTCTATTTTTCCTTTGTGTATTAACAACAAACTCTCAAGATCTAGGGAATCAAAAAATACACAAGCCATTGAAGAATACAAACCTGAGATGAATTTTATTACACAAGCAAGTTCTACATTGCAATCTGGTACAAATTCATACACCAGACACTAACCACATCTGATTTCATCTTATTCATCAATCCAAACTAATGAAAGCCAATTATCAACAAATTGGCTTTCAGAGCACGCATAAATAATTGATGCAGGAAACGAGCAGTTTCCTTGCTGCAAGAAACATGTGAAACCAGCGAATTCCTAGCTGCATGAAAGAATAATTTGAGACCATATTTTACAATGGAACATAATCTACACAAATCAGGAGCTTAAGGGCCTTCTCTGCTTAGGCCTGCAGGAACCCTTTTTGTTCCAGGTAGGATATCACAGTTTCAGCCATATCATTAGGGGAAGAACAGTTGTTTTCATTGTATTGCAATGCCACCTGCAAACCAAGAAATCGATGCTCTGCTTTAATACAAGCAATTAATCACGCAGTCGTGCCAAGTGTTTTCTCTCTAAATTATGCTGCAGCAGCACATAAGTTGCTGAGTCTTAAAATCCTTAGAAGTTCTTCAAGATTTATATGGTAAGTTTTTTTGTTTTTTGAAGGGAAAATAATCCATTTAGGTGAATATCCTTGTTTCTTAAGTTCCAGTCTATCAAAACAAGAAAGCTATGACTTCCAAGACACAGTGATACATACCTCACAATTCAGTGGTGGTTCATAGGGGTCATCAATACCAGTGAAACCTGCAAGAATATACACAAGAGGCATGATGCAAACCTTTTCATACTGAAAGCTTATATTTCCTATTGAAGACTGATGCAAGTAAAGACACTAGAATAAAATTCATTCCCAAAGAGGACAAGACAGAGCCCAAAATCCAGGAAGAGACCTTTAATTCTTCCAGCCCGTGCAAGCTTGTACAGTCCCTTTGGATCCCTAAATTCACATATTTGGAGTGGCACATCAATGAACACCTGTACAAGCCACAACGCATGCTTAATCAATTTTCCTTACCATCAATGGACCAAGTTTTTACGGTTCAAAATTTGCCAAAATGTAGCACAGACCTCAATGAAATCTCCTTCTGGTAACATGGCACGACATGCATCTCGGTCCTTTCTGTAAGGTGAAATCACGCTGGCAATGCAAATAATACCAGCATCAGCAAAAAGCTTTCCAACTTCCCCTGTGAATAATAATAGTATGAAATTTTAAGTCATCAAAGAAAGAAAAGGAATCAAACTAGGAAGTGGGGGAGACTAGAAAGGGGGGCTAAACAGCACTGACCAAGTCTTCGTATGTTTTCCACACGATCTTCTGCTTTAAAACTAAGGTCTTGGTTTAAGCCATGCCGAACATTGTCACCATCTAGGATGTAAGTTAATTTTCCCCTTGAGTACAAGGCTCGGCTTAGAACACATGCCAAGGTGCTTTTCCCTAAATTTGAGTCCAATGTGCATCAGAAGCAGAGCAAAAGAAAATGAAAGACCTCTGGTTGAGGTTGAGGTTGAGGTTGAGGTTGAGGTTGAGGTTGAGGTTGAGGAAATTGAATCCTAATACAATAAAAACTCTATCCACCTCCCTCCCAAGCTCACTTGAGGCCCTCCACACACACAGACAACAATATGTTCTTAAGAAAATATAAACAGAAGAAAAATATGATGAGGATCAAACTTCCAAGTTGGAGGATAATTAAGTATGGCAGTAGGTAGAGGAACTTCTAAATTAGACACTAATATCAAGACACAGAAATATAAGATCATTTATCCCAATTTTGGCAGAATATTTTAATTTTACCGAGCAAACAAGAATTCTAGAACTTAAAATGTGTTTAAGATCAGGCCATTTATACTCTTGGAAACCAAAAACAAGAAATAAATTCTAGTACTGAAAACTCAAGACTGGATATCATAATATGATCCATGTAAATGCATTAACAAACCTGAGCCACTGAGACCTGTAATCCATACTACACAACCCTTTTGCTGAAGCAACTCTTGTCGGGCAAGCTTATCAACAGAACTTTTGTGCCATACAATGTTTGTTGACTGTCCAATATTGGGCAATCGGCAGGCATTTTCACCTAGTCAGATGTTTGAAATCAAAACCTTAAGAAGTTGTAGTTTTTAAAAGTAAAAAAACATAAATATACCACTGAATTAGCAACTTCATCTTTAAAAGAAAAGCTCAAGATCAAGGACAACAGTGATAGTTAGAATTTTTAGAACTGCTTGCAGCTCCATCAATATTACAGTTTATACAGTCATTATTGCCACCGACAAATTTCATGAAGACTTCCATACAACATAAAAAGGAATAGATTCTACACCATCTAAAAAGAATTTAGGATCTAAAGAGAAGTTGAATAAAGAAGAACCACAAAGTAAGAGGCTCATTTTCCAAGGTTGCTTCCAATCTACACAGTTATATTTACCAACAAGGTCATGAGGATAAAAAAAACAGACGGTTTAACCTATGCATCTAGATCTGTCTCGAGTAATGTATTGGGTCTTAAAATCTCCAACTTGTTCTGCATTCTGCAATAAGTCTCCTGGGTCATTTCATGAATTTGCAAGTGAAATTACGCATGATCAGGACAGAGTTTTCCAGCTCATTAGGAATGATGCAGAGTTCAAATAGAAGTTGAAGGTTGGAATCCTGTTAAGAACCTATAAACAAGAATCATTTGGGCAGCTGGGATCAGCCTCGATATGTAGACTTTTCTGCTATTAAATGATCAAAGAGAATTCACTCGAGGGCCAGTAAGACTAATCTTCTTTTGTAATTCATCATCCCTCTTTCTTGGTTAAAAAAAAGAAAAAAAAAAAAAAAAGAAAAGGGAACTTCATCCTCGTCCCTAAGAAACTAATTAAGTATTGTAATTTGTAAAAGGAGCCAATGAAACACTCAAAAGAGTAGAAACCCCAACAAGCTTATAGATTGTAGTTAAATGTAATTAGCAACTTGCAAGTCAACCAATTAAGTTAGAAAATGAACTGGTATGCCCAGAACACAAGCCCAAATTTCCAACCAACTTTCACAAAAGTCTAACAACATAAAAATGGGGGGGAAAAAATATGGTACATACTGATAGCAACCTAAAACAAGATCCCACCGAGAAACAGACGATCGCCGGTGGTATTACCCAGAAAAAGGACGGTCCTTTTTCCCCACTTCATAAATGGTCCTTCAAAAGTCAGTAATATTTCAAAAGCCAATTACAGCACCAAACACTATTTCAAGTTTAATTCTTTAGGAAAGAAAATAAGTACTGGGGACCAAGAGAGAGAGAGAACCTGTTAGATTCGCAATAACTGCAGAAGATGCTAAAGCAAAATAAAATGAAAATTGAAAGAGAAAGTACCCGGAATGACATCAGCGCAGTCGTTGGTGAGGGACAGAGTCGACTCCTCCGTCGCCTTAATCGGCTGCGACGAGCTCCGCCTCCCCAAATTTACCGCATTGTTTACCGGAAACTGAACGAATCCAATCTTGGGCGAAGCTGAACCCGCAGACAGCGACTCGGAATAGGAACAAGAAATCACGGGTGGCGCTGCCCTGATCGCAACCATCTCCACAGAAACGGCTGTTGGACCAGGCAGTTAGAAACTGAAAGAAAGAAGGACAAGGAACCAGTTTGATTGATATACAGGGAAGCCCCGGGGAGAGGCGGGCTTAACGGAAAGCAATGGACCTGTTAACAGCTCTATAATAACTACATAAAATTCAATAGGAAAATGTAGTAAAAAAATGTTTTACATGTAAATTAAAAAGGTATTTTATTTTCTATAAAAAAAAGT